AAATTAATAAAGCCAGCTTCCGGTAGGCCTTGTTCACCTCATCCCTAGGGAACAGGACGGGAGGGATTAGGGAATATCCAGTGAAACCCCTGGAATTCTGGAATCTCCCTATTCCAGGACCCTCAAGGATCACGGAGCCCAACTTCCGGTGTAGCGCTGCCTAAAGACAGGAAGTGCCGCAAGGCACTATGGGGGCTGTAGTCCTTCCGTGCTGCTTGCGCATTATCGCGCATGCTCAGGAAAGCGCTCAAAAGGGATTGGTTGAGCAGGTCACGTGTTTAGGAGTCTCACGGTTTGAATTGGCCATCTAAGATCTTGCTGTTCTTAATAAATTTGATAGTAATCAATAAAGAAATTATTAAAGCCAGCTTCCGGTAGGCCTTATTCACCTCATCCCTAGGGAACAGGATGGGAGGGATTAGGGACTATCCAGTGAAACCCCTGGAATTCTGGAATCTCCCAAACTGGAAAGACCCTGGAGGATCACGGAGCTCAACTTCCGGTTTAGTTGTGGCTAAAACAGGAAGTACCGCAAGGCATTATGGGGGTTGCAGTTCTTCCGGACTCTCGCGCATGCTCACGAAAGGGCTCGAATGGGATTGGCTCAGGAGGTCACGTGTTTAGGACGTCTCACGGTTTGAATTGGCCATCTAAGCTCTCGCTGTTCTTAATAAATTTGATAGTAATTAATTAATAAATTACTAAAGCCAGCTTCCGGTAGGCCTTGTTCACCTCATCCCTAGGGAATAGGACGGGAGGGATTAGGGAATATCAAGTGAAACCCCTGGAATTCTGGAATCTCCCGAACTGGAAGGACCCTGGAGGATCACGGAGTTCAACTTCCGGTGTAGTGCTGGCTAAGACCGGAAGTGCCGCAAAGCATTCTGGGGGTTGTAGTTCTTCCGCACTCTCGCGCATGCTCAGTAACGCGCCCGAATGGGATTGGTTCAGGAGGTCACGTGCTTATGACGTCTCACGGTTTGAATTGTCCCTCTAAGCGCTCGCTGTTCTTAACAAATTTGATAGTAATTAATTAATAAATTAATTAATTCAGTTGCACGAACCACACGGGACGGGGGCCGTGCCCACAAAGGCTACACCTGGAATTGGGGAATCTCCGGAGAGCGAGGGCAGAGCCGGCATTCCCAACGTTCCTTCCGGGATTAGGGAATATCCACTGCAACCCCTGGAATTAGGGAATATCCTGAGCAGGAAGGAACCTCAAGGATCATCCACTGAGACCTCTGGAATTAGGGAATATCCTGACATGGAAGGACCCACAAGGATCATGGAGTTCAACCCCTGGGATTAGGGAATGTCCAGTTCAAGCCCTGGAATTCTGGAATCTCCTGAGCTGGAAGAATCCAGAAGTATCATTCACTGAGACCCCTGGAATTCTGGAATCTCCTGAGAGTGCAGGCAGAGCCAGCATTCCCAGGATTCTGTGCCATCCTGGAACTATCCCAGCTCTCCACAATTCCCTGGAAGGAAGTTTCAGGAGGTCCCCAATTCCCAGGGAACAAGGGCCAGGAGGAGAAGGGAACAACCAGGGAGTTTAACTGGATCTTGGGAACAATTCCCGCATGGAAAAGGTGGTTAAACCTTGGAATGAACTTCCCAGGGCAGGGCTGGAGTCGCCATTCCCAGAGGGATTTCCGATCCCTGTGGATGTGGCCCTTGGGGACACGGATCCAGGGTGACCTTGGAATTACTGGGAATAGTTGGATTCCATGATCTCCAAGGGATTTTCCAAGCTGAACCATCCCTAAGGATTCTGTGCCATCCTGGCACTGTCCCAGCTCTCCACAATTCCTGAAAGGAATTTTAAAGAGGTGGGGATCCCCAATTCCCAGAGAACAAGGGACAGGAGGAGAAGGGAACCACCTGGGAGGGAGTTTAACTGGATCTTGGGAACAATTCCCACATGGAAATGGTGGTTAAACACTGGAATGAACTTCCCAGGGCAGGGCTGGAGTCGCCATTCCCAGAGGGATTTCAGATCCCTGTGGATGTAGCCCTTGGGGACACGGATCTGTGCTGGCCTTGGAAATACTGGGAATTCTTGGAATCCATGATCCCACAGGGATTTTCCAACCTGAACCATCCCTAAGGATTCTGTGCCATCCTGGCACTGTCCCAGCTCTCCACAATTCCCTGGAAGGAAGTTTCAGGAGGTCCCCAATTCCCAGGGAACAAGGGACAGGAGGAGAAGGGAACAACCAGGGAGTTTAACTGGATCTTGGGAACAATTCCCACATGGAAACGGTGGTTAAACCTTGGAATGAACTTCCCAGGGCAGGGCTGGAGTCGCCGTTCCCGGAGGGATTTCAGATCCCTGTGGATGTGGCCCTTGGGGACACGGATCCGGGGTGACCTTGGCAGCACTGGGAACGCTTGGAATCCACAATCCCAGAGGGATTTTCCAAGCTGAACCATCCCTAAGGATTCTGTGCCATCCTGGCACTGTCCCAGCTCTCCACAATTCCCTGGAAGGAATTTTAAGGAAGTGGAGGGTCCCCAATTCCCAGGGAACGAATTCCCAGCTTTCCCTCACCTGGTGGCTCCGGGTTTGACTCCCAGCATGTCCCAGCTGTCCTTGCTGTTCCGGATCCTCCGGATGGCATCCGCCTGTTCCCGGGTGAAGCCGATGCCGGCGCCGGAATTCGGGCGCTTCCCACCGTTGTCGCACAGGTCGACGATGGCCGAGTAGAAAGTCTGGGGATACAGGGAATTCTTGAGGGATACAGGGAATTCTTGATGGATATTGGGGATTATGGACACTGGGAAAGGATCCCAAAGGATCCCTCAGGTGCCTTTGTTGGCGGGGAATTGTGGGAATGCGGGAGCGGGAAGGATCTGGAAGGATCCAGAAGGATCCGGAAGGATTGTCCGGGTAAACTTTGGGATTTAGGGAATGGTGGGAGGTGGGAGGATCTTCCAGGGTAAAGTTTGGGATTAGGGAATGTCCAGTTCAACCTCTGGGATTAGGGAATGTCCAGGGCAACCCCTGGGATTAGGGAATCTCCTAAACTGGAAGGGTCATCCAGTGCAATTCCTGGAATTAGGGAATATCCAGTTCAAACCCTGGGATTAGGGAATGTCCAGGGCAAGGCCTGGGATTAGGGAATGTCCAGTTGAATCCCTGGAATTTGGGAATATTCTGAGCTGGAAGGGTCATCCAGTTCAATCCCTGGAATCAGGGAATGTCCAGTGCAAACCCTGGAATTAGGGAATGTCCAGATCAACCCTGGGATTAGGGAATATCCAGTTCAAAACCTGGGATTAGGGAATATCCAGTTCAACCCCTGGGATTAGGGAATGTCCAGTTCAACCTCTGGGATTAGGGAATATCCAGTTCATCCCCTGGGATTAGGGAATGTCCAGTTCAACCCTTGGGATTAGGGAATGTCCAGTGCAAACCCTGGAATCAGGGAATGTCAAATTCAAGGCCTGGAATTAGGGAATATCCAGTTCAATCCCTGGAATTTGGGAATATCCTGAGTTGGAAGGACCCACAAGGATCCCGGAGTTCAATCCCCGGCCCTTCCCAGATAACCCAACATTCCCAGCATTCCCAACATTCCCAAACGCTCCCTGAGCTCTGGTGGCCTTGGATCGATGACCATTCCCTCAGGATGAGGAATATTGGCTATTCCAGCCCCTTGGATTCATCCCCATTCCATAGGGATGAGGAATCTTGGCTATTCCAGCCCCGTGGATCCATCCCCATTCCATAGGGATGAGGAATATTGGCTATTCCAGCTCCTTGGATCCATCCCCATTCCCTCTGGATGAGGAATATTGGCAATTCCAGCCCCTTGGATCCATCCCCATTCCCTCTGGATGAG